ACTGGTGGCCATCTGAATATTTGATTTACTTTGATAATGAAATGACAAATTTCTCAGCTAATTGTTGGGCTTTGTCTTAACTTCAATAATTTTGTGAATGCAATATGATTGAAATTTGCAAAAAAAAAAAAAAAGTGCTATATTCTCTGTCTTTGTTCTTAGTTATCATTATATATATATATATATATATATATATATATATATATATATATATATATATATATATATATATATATATATATATATATATATTAATAATTTATCTAAAGTTAAATAATTTGCTTACATTGGTATTAACACTAATTATTAATGAGCTGGACAAATAGCTCTTTCTGTGCAATAAAGGGAGAAATAACTTCATGGTATGTGGCAAGGTTTCCATATAATTAGTGATCTGGTTTTCAACATCCTTGCTTATCTAAATTTTATGTTGTTAATTTATATAATTAGATATTTGTTGCAAAAATACTTATTTTGCATGAAAGTGTAATTTAATGTGTGTTGTACAAGTTTGAGTAATTGCTTAAAAGGTTGGTTATAGGTGCATTTTGAAAGTTTGTGGTGTTAACGTGTGTATTCAGTTCAAGAATATAATCGCTGTTTAGTAATGTATGAAAATGGAATGTTAAAATATTATCCATAGACATACCACAAGTTAATATCAAACAATATTTTAGTTCCTGAACAATAGACTTTTTTGCTGTTCTATTTGCACTCTAAGCGTGTGTCTTGTTTTCCGACTGTCCCTCGTGGTCGCTGGTCCCTCGATAGAATTCTTGGTGAATCGGATGCTTTTGGTATCGTTCGCCTTATGTGTTTCTGTTCTCGTATTGGCATCCTTGATGATATTTAGCGCCCTCTGATGATTCCGCACATTTGATGGTGCTACATAGCCTTCCCGGTTTGGTGCCTTCTTTTGATAATTACTTGCACTTTTAGAGAAAAAATGGTTTTATAATATACAGCTGCTACTTATAAATTTGTATAAATTTACTTGTAAACAACAATCTTACCTTTTTACTACTGCAGGAAGCTAAATTAGTTACTTAATTTTGTCGTAATTTCCAGATTTTAAAGAAAATCACAAAAAAATCAAACCTGTGACAGCTGGTTGCAAATTCTACATTTATAGCTGATGGTTTCATTGCACTGCAAGCAGTTACAGCAGCGCATTAATATTCTAAGAAACTTTTGCATGATGCTTTTGAAGACATTTGCTTTAAACAAGGATATAGTTTGGGTTTTTAGATATAAATACACAATCATCATATGTTATTTATTCATGATAAAACATGGAATAAATAACATAATATTTTTTATATATATATGTGTGTATTTGAGATCACACTTAGGTAATCACACACTTGTACACATTAATGTAGGTCAGTCACATTAAATAACATGATTAAGGTCGTTGTAGCAAATAGAAACCACATACTTTATGTTTGAGCACTTGTTTATTGTTTAACAGTCTTTGAAGCAATGTCACAAGCCAATAAATGCCCCCCCCCCCCCAAAAAAAAAAATATATATATATATATATATATATATATATATATATATATATATATATATATATATATATATATATATATATATATATATATATATATATATATATATATATATATATATATATATATATATATATATATATATATATATACACACATACATACATACATACATACATACATACATACATACACACACACACACACACACACACACACACACACACACACACTATATAAAAACGATCATGGTTGAAATATGTAACATGAGGGAACATACTTTACACAAATTATGATAGCCAATTTCCACACTGGTGATGAGGTAATGTCGGTACAGTAATACCTGGTGGCAGAATAAATTTGCTATATGAAATTATAACTGCTCTGTCTTTTACTGTGCAGTGGTTTTTCTTAAATAGTTTAACTAAAAGGGAGTCAATAAGTACAGCACCTTACAAATTTTATGTACCGACTATTCACATTTCTTCTGTGTTAGGGAATTGTGACCTCGGTTTGCATTTTGTGTTCACAGATGGGTGTAAGTCTGCCAATGGTGTAGGATACTCCGTTTCATTTCCTGACCACACCTATATGTGTCGTCTGCCCCAAAAACTAACATCTTCATGGCAGAACTTTATGCAATTTTGTATGCTCTTCATTAACTGCTTTCTCGCTGTCAACTTTCCTTTATTGTTGTAATTGACTCGCAGTGCCCTCATGGCTCTGGAGTCATTTATTCCTATCAATTCTGTGGTAGTCAAAATTCAACCTTGGTTGTTTTTAATCTCCAGCAGATTTAAGACAGTCGAGTTTTGCTGGGTTCCATGCCATATTAGTGTTTCCTCATATGAGCATGAGTATGCTGCCACTGAGGAGACTATCCATACTTTTCCTATTTCCTGCAAAGGCGTTCCTTATTCTGACTTCTACTCGCTTAACTCACGGTCATTTATTGGAGCGCCGCCCAGCTCCTTATTGTCCAGATTGCATTGTCCCTCTTACCGTCATGCATATCCTTGTTGAATGTCCTGACTTCCAGGATGAGCGTGTGTCTTGCTTTCCGACCTTCCCTCGCGGTCACTTGTCCATCGTCCCTCGATAGAATTCTTGGTGAATCGGATACTTTTGATATCGTTCCCTTTATGCGTTTCTGTTCTCGTATTGGCATCCTTGGTGATATTTAGCGCCCTCTGATTATTCCACACATTTGATGGTGCTACATAGCCTTCCCGGTTTGGTGCCTTCTTTTGATAATTACTTACTTTCATATTTCATCTGGACTACAATGCTTTCATTCATCCTTGTACTGCCCCATTGAAACCCCTATTCACTTCTTTGCAGTCTTTTACTACATGGAATTCCCACTTGCAGGCTTTTCCCTCTGCATGTCCACATTGTGAAATTTGTATCATGCCTACCTTAACCCTGTGGAGTGCCATACTCCTTAAATTTTGTAAAAGTCCTAATCTGAATAGGGCTTCAAAAAATACTTTTAACTTTAATGTTTTCACTGCCACTCCTCTCCTAATACTCTGATTATAGTTACTTTTCACAAGCCAATTTTCTCTTGATGTTTGGTTGCCTTGTAATGCTCTAAAGTCATTTTATCCTTTGCATCCTTTGGTGATCAAAATCCAAGACAAAGACCGACTGTTCCTAATCTTTACCAGATACTATATTAAACAGCAAAATCTGGTGAACGGATTTTATCCATTGTTTAGAGGGCTTGATTTTTGAGGGTGCACTGAATTAATATAGAGTAATACATTCTAAATATAAACTGTACAGTGTGTGTGTGTATGTTTATATGCATGTATGTATATGTAAAATGATGACAGAACATGCATTAGTTTACTACTATACATCTCTACATATTCAGGGATACAGAAAGAGAAATATACTTGACATGACAGTACAGGTAGCTTATTTACAAAAAATATTGGGGTAATATACAAAATATACTCAAACATGATATTTGATTATGCAGTTGAACCAATGTAAATGTGTCCTGGAATGATTTAAAATGCTTCCACAATTCCAAACAGTTGTAACTTTTAAGGAGTGCGAATTCAATTATTCAGGGTCGTAAAAGTATTTAAAGTTAAGTATTGTATTTTTGTAATACTGTAGTTGAATAGCATAATACACAAAATTTAAATTACAGTAATAATGAAAATAAAAACAGGAATTTTAAACATATCACCAAAATGAGGATAAAGAGCGTTCCTGTTAGGGACCAAAATATTCGGCGTAAATTACATGCTGTTTATTCATAATGCAGGGTCTGTAGTAAGTTTAAATCTTGGAATAACAAATAAATTAATCCCCACTTAATATATAACTACAAGTTATGTGTGAGACTGGGTGGACAATTTCAAGTTTGCATGTACAGCATAGCTGACTTAAGAATGGCCCAACATATGCTTGGGGGTAACCCTTCCTCAGGCTAGGATCTTTAGGCAGCCATCCTCCAGCAGATGCATTCATCAATTTTAACATTGTGTATTAAAAATTGGTTTATTCTAATAAGTTAATATTGTATGTTAAATTTTTATGTAAAGTTAGGCATAGGTTAGGTATTTACTTTCTGTTGGCGATTATTTGTATTTGTAGTACGTGGGTGAAGTAGTTAGTGTCGCAGTTCAAACAGAGGTTGTCAAGAAAGCCCTGTTCGTGAACTGTTTGAATGTTATCAGTCGAGTTGTGTGTAAACAGTTTTTATTCATAAATGGGGTTTGGCGACTGGATTAATGAGTATATGACTTTTGTTTACGAGGATGAGCTGTTGGGGGACTCGTGGTACTTGGCTGGTTTGGTATGTTGTTACCAGCCTTTGTTTGATTCCCAAATGGTCTGAGTTAGGCAGTTATGTACTGTATATAATATACTGTATATCCATTGGCATGACTTGATGTGCATATTATTCAATCTGGTCGAGCCTCATTTTATTGGCATTAACTGGTGAAGTGACAAGCTGGACATAGACTTTTTATTGGTTAGAAATATCTTGATAAGCCATAAATGGGCTTCTGTTCTTGACAAGGTGTTTATCTGTGCATACATCAGTCACATTCAAGCATAATGCATTTTTTTCTTTATATGCATTATTTTTGTGTGAGTGTGCATTGTCACATTGCTGTGTGGAACACTCATATCTGTAAAAAAGAAATCTATGGTTGTTTGTATGAATCTTAATAACATGGTATTGAGGTTGCTTTTATATTATGCCAGCCAACTAAAGTTTTTTTTTTATATGCTTGTAGCCTTCATCTTTGTTCACACTCAGTGTCATCAAGGCTAGCCATTTGCTACCACAGAAATCAAACATGCCAATATGGGATTTTCCAGTAACAAACACACACAAACACATGCACATATTCATTCATTCACATTATTCACAGTCACATATGTACAGCCTTGACAATATGAACCCAATCTAGATTTTTTTTTTAATTTTTTGGCTATAGGTATCACAATTTATATTGCTTCACAATTTATATTTATTTTCTTTTGTTTTTGACATTGTCATACAAAACATATCTATATTTTTAAATATTTAAACAGCATTGTATACACATCATAAAAGGTAGAGTTATTGAAAATTTATTAAAATCATAACTTTGTACTTATCTTTTTCAAGACTCCATTTAATAATGTGGATTTCGTGCTTTAACTCGTCGAATTTCAGCCACTGAGTTCCATTATATCATTGTCTTTGACGTCAGAACTCTGTCCTTGCAACAATCTCTTGAAAACCTTGCTTTACATTTCAGAATGTTTGCTAATGCCAATACCATACTCCAAGGGTGGTCTCACTCCCCAGTCAAAATCACTTTTAGTACGTTTGTCCTTACAATGTTAACATACATCTCTTACTTTTGCCTGGTCTAACCAGACTTCTCTTGCTGGCAGACATATTTTCTACTCACAGATGAAGAGAGTATCCAAAGAAAAATTAATGAATATTTGCTGAGTAATAGAAGGTCAACCATACAAATAGAGCAAAGTGCGCATGGCTGGGACAGGTTCACACCATGTGTGTGGCTGGGTCAGGTCCATACTGTGTGTGTGTGTGGGGCTGGGTCAGGCCCATACTATGTGCATGGCTGGGACAGGTCCACACTGTGTGCTAGAACTGAGCCAGTCACAATATGCTGTGTTATTATTTTTAATACAGTTTAACTACAGTAAATTATAACTTTGCTATTTTTGAGTAATATTTACCATAAAGATAATAGAATACAGGAGTAAAAAAGAAAAAATAAGATCAACAAATGTTAAAGATAAGAGTTGATCCAGATTTCCCTATACAGTACAATATTGTACTGTATACTATACTGCAAAGTATGGCAAAATTTTGTCTGAATTTGCATATTTCTGGTAGCAAAATCTTTTTGGATTTCTGGGGTTTTCCATTGTACTGAGTTCTGAATTTTTGAGTGTCTCACTGTATAGTATAGTATATAATACTGTACTGTATACACATACACAATCATACAGTACTTATACATACAGTATACTGTATATAAACAGTAGCTTATTTTCACAGCTGTTTCAGTCAGCATTTTGCTTTCTTACTAGAATGTGATTGTAAATACTATTTTGTATTTGGGATTTTACTACAAATGTATAAATTTGAACTACTACTAAAGAAACATATTGGTAGTTCTAAATTTGGAATGCAGTGCTCTTTACTACACACTACTATAAAATGGGACAAGAATTTTGTTTTGGTTTTCTTTATCCAGTAAGATATTCTAAGGGTCATGCAATGGTCAGGAAACATTGGCAATTATTAATACAGTATTCATATCACGAAAGTTAAACTAACAGTGCATTGCAGTAATAATGCTCGTCACCCCCACAACCTTACTGCTTGACCCTACTGGTATGCCCTATGGTATGTTAGAACAAATGGGATGGATACTACCTTGTACATCTAAGCAACTCTGGTTTATAAATTAATACAGCCTCCTTTTTCATCCTGGAGATAAATTATGAGAGCCTTTAATAATACTTTACAAATCCTTAAATATATAGAAAAGAACACGGGGTGTAGTACACACAATATATTTCAGACTGACAGCTTTGCCAATGTATGTACTAACTATACAATAAAGGACTAGACTTTTTTTTTTTTTTTTTTTTTTTTTAAGGAACATACTAACCTGACGATCCTTGCAGCATGCTGGACTGCTCTATTCCAGTATGATTTTATTAAGTTCAGGTCAATTCATTGTAGTGTGTGTGTGAACTGTATTTTATCAAATAACATATGCTTATAGTTTCTGGGGCAGTGTTTTGTGTGGTAGTCAACAGTATCAAAAACCTTAGTGACATTAATGTATTTGAAAGCCTTGGTCTATATTGATTACCCTTTCCAGAAACAAATTCTCAGTAATTGTAATTCTTTAATTTTAATTGCCAGGAGGGTTAATTATACAATAATTTAGCTTCAAATTATGCCTTTAATATGCTTATTCAAAGATAATGTATGTAAAACCACATGAATAGAGTACAGTATTGCAAAGGTTAGCTCAATCATAAACTGGCAAAGGAATGTTCAGGCTATTGAAAAATATATACAGGTACTAAGATTATCAAGTGTTACAGTATTTAGTGTATTATCATTATTTTTAATTTTAATAGTAACAATTATAACTACTGTAAACAATTATTAGCATTGAATACCTATCAAGTTTCACCCTCAGCCAAAACCTTGTCAGAATAATACAGCCATTATTTTTACTATAATTATTTGCAATATTACCATTACTGTAACCTAAATTAGTTACTATACCTTCAATTAGAATGCTATTATGCCCCCAACGTTCAAAAACCCACAAAGCACTAAGGTTCTCTTGGTCAGTACAGCAAGCCTCACAGTGCATTGCTGCTTTTATGCAGCTAAGTATAAGACATTCAAATTTTGCAGAGTCTGTAGCCAATTGATGTTGCATCTAATGACCTCATGGATATCGCTGCTGCTGATGCTGTTTGTATCCGTGCTATCTCTAAAAATCAACTCCTTACTTTGATTTCTACCCTATCATTCAAAATACAATCTACAATTAACTGGGAGAGAGAGAGATGGTTTAGTAATATGACTAATGAACCACATACTATCAAATGCTACATTTTTCTATGGCCTTCCTCCTACCACACACTGTAATAGGTGGGAAACTGCTCTAGCTAGACCTCATTAGTCTCGCACATTTAACTCTCGCTCATGGTACTGTATACGGTACTGTACTTAATGGTACAAAGACCTGCGTCTTATTATTCAAACTGCATTATTCCACTCCCAGTTGCACACCTCCTCATAGAATGTCTTGATTTTCAGGTTGATCATAATTCTTGCTTTTCCAATGTTCCATAACATGAGTTGATGACAAGGCATTACTGTAGTTCAAAATCTAGTTGGAGGAAAAATGGGGGTACCTTTGACAAGCCACTGGTTTCCTGTCCCTGTTGTGTCACTAAATAGATGGTGGCCTTCAGGTAAAATCCATGGTAATTCCAGTAACTTCGACTTCAATCATCCTATCTTTTTTGCACATGTTTGCATCCTGAATTATATTTAGAACCTATTGACTGTTCTGTGACATATGGTGCTCAGTAGTCTATCACGCTGGGTACCTTCTTTTGATAATGTCACTTACATACTCCCACTACTCTGTAGGGCAGTGTACCTCAGCCACAGCACCTCATTTACCTGAATTTAATTGAGGGGCCACAATCTCACTAGTGGCCTCGAGGACTGCCTCAAGGTAACCCTCAAAGGCTTGGACATCAACACCAATACTTAGGAGTCGCTTTTCAGGACCGTCCAACTTGGAAAAGCAAAGTCACCACAGGGGTCCCGTGCAGCAGAAAATAAACGGACTGCAGAGGCCCAGAGGAAACGCACTGCACGCAAAGCTAGGGCAATCTCCACCTCTGCAGCAACTTCAAGTACATTTATTGAGACAATAAAATACATTTCAAAGGGACAGAGTAACTTAGGCTATTTCTACCCCCGTCATACCACTGCAGCAGCACCCACTCACAAATGTCCCATGTGTGGGCGAGCCTTCCGTATCCAAATTGGTCTCATCCTCCATCATCTGGCACACAGCCACCAACCTGATATACTGAAGTCATGGTCATCTTTGCATCTGAAGGACGAACATCAGTGGCCTCGATGAGGGACAGGATGCTGATTGCTTGTCAAATGTTTCCCCATTTGTCCTGATGAGTTTATCGAGCTGGATTTTTAAAATCAGCAGTGTTTTGGCATTTATGGCTTCTGCAGGTAAGAGATTCCATGGGTTTATAACCCTATGGGTGAAAAACTACATTGTGACTTGTTGAGCTTGAAACTGTTGCTCCTTGTTTATGTTACATCTGACCTTTTGAAGAAGCGGTCTGGATCAATATCCTCCAAACTGTTCAGTATTTTTAAATTTTTGATGAGATATGCTCTCTGGAGCAGATCTCAGACATACTGTTCTTTGGAGTATACCATTGGGGTAGTATACCACAGCACACCACTGTTCTCTAGATCAATACACCATAGTCACATTTCTGTGGGGCAGTATACCACAGCCTCAATGTTCTGTAGGGCAGTTTACCACAGAGCCAGCTCACTTTCAAGGAGTGATATAGCACAGCAGCCTCATGGTTCTATGGTCGAATGTATCTCATAGAGAGGCGGAACACCGGTCCAAGTAAATTGTGTCATTTATGACTACAGTATATTAATCATATTAAACAAAATCATGATTTATTGAGCCACTTGACATGAATCATCAACGCTAAAAAAAATAAATGGCCTAATTTTACGTTTGGACGGTGTTAGAAAATTTGTCTTCAATAAAAAGGGATTCTTTTGGGAAATTTGAGTTTGCGAAAGTTCTAACCTATAATGGAAGGTCTTCGTTCAGCTACAGCTGATACATATGTCAGACTGTCTCATTATACAGAAGCAAATAACCTACAATTTAATTTAAAATGAGTAATAAAATTCCACATACACTTGCCTAACTACAGTACTCCATTTTTTGTTTTTTTATATTGTAGCTTGATTCCTAATGACTCTTGCTATAGCTTTCTATTTTTAAGCCAATCGAGAGAACGAGCTGTGTCCTCTGCGTCCTAATAGTTGCCTCTATTAGTGATGGCAACCTAATACGTTGCATTTTTTACGGAATCAACCAATTTGTTAAAAATGTGAGGTAATAGAAAAATTGTAGCACTGTAATATTGACGTTTTCGATGCATTGGCCTCAATGTCCAGCCTGAACAGGCTGAACAATTGCACAATATCGGCCATGTAGCAACGATATCTTGTGACGGCTTATTGCAAATCATGCATTACAGATCGGCAAGTTGCAGTTTACAAATCAACCTGTCACACTTTGCAGGTCACCCTTTATCTTTTGCCCTTGAAGAGTTTGGGTGCCTTGGGCTTGGACTTGGGCGTGGGTGGTGAGATGGGTGTGGGGGTGCTGTATGAGGCGTGGCCGCCATCGAAGCTGAGGGCGCGGCGCTCGTCGTCTTCAGGGGAACTGGGAGGTGTGGGAGGGCGTGTGGGACGGCTCCTGCAAGGAGAAAAAGAGGGTCAGATATAGGTAAGACGAGTAAATGAATGGAAGAGTAAATAAATGGAAAAGTAAATGAATGGAAAAGTAGATGAATGATTTGATTTGATATTGATTTGATAGCTTCAGGGAGCTTATAATTACAAACTGGCACATGCCAGTTTGATAGCTTCAGGGAGCCAATAGAGCTTCCACAGAAAGCGTACCATTATGTTTTTTTTTTTTACTTTATATTATCTACTCAGCACTTAATAAGGATGATTTCCCAATTGGGCCTGTTCACTGAAATAACACAAGCCTTTAAGACCATAAATCACAATAACCTCATACTGAAATTTTAGCACTACAAAATTCGAGCCCTCTCTGAACTATACTGAGAATGTATAGTATTTAATCACCAAAATGCATAATAAAATAACCCATTGTCTCTACTTATAAATACAAAATAAATAAAGGCTCAGCCACAGCCACTTATATATATTTGTCAAACTTATGCTTGAAACAATTCAGTGAAGCAAGTTTTTTCATACAGTATTAGGCAGTACAAATTAACACAGACAACCAACATAATATGAGAGATATATCAACTTACTGTGAGGTTTGTGACCGCTGCCGTCGCTGTCGTTCTAGCTGTCGTGGAGTGAGATGTGACCCGTGGTAGGATCGCAGTGACCTCAAGAATGACACCACACACCCCATCAGCCCACACGTCCACCACCACCGATCCACCCCTGCTGTGTCGCTGCCCCTCTCCTTCGGGGGCCTGGAGCTGGAAGGAAGTGAGGAGGAGGGATGGTCTTTGTGGTGTTACGTCGTCACCGCTTTCTGGGCCCTGCCGTTGGAAAGAAGTACTGTATAAGGAAGGAATGTTCCTGAAGGCTGGGTTAGGAACACTGCTAATAAAGGGAAGTTTCTCGAAAGTGGAGGAGTGCTTCGATCTAGGAGGAGGAAATGTCTGAGACAAGCACCCCCATAAAACATAGACCTGGGAATGAGGAAACAAAATTAATGTGTTTGTTTACACAAACAACATATAATTTATGTATACCTGTTATTAAGACACACATGTATCGCTTTTTAAACTGCATATACTCTCATTCCAATGGATTAAAAGTAGATTATATGTATGCATGTGTCCTTTTACTTTATATAATATTCATGGCTACACTCACGATAATAATTGAGAAATAGTTTATGTATATTCATAGGAACAAGGACTCTTCTACAGCTTTTACAGTAATGTCTTCTACAGCTTCTACAGATCTACAGCTACATCCTGGTTGGGTCATTTAGAGTTCTTAGTGATTTATGGCTTGCGCGTTCCTGCAGCCTTTCTCACATTTGTAGATTCAGTGCGGCCCGTGCATGTGCCAGAATATGATGAAAAACTGTACCCAAATGGATCCATGAGTGTCGTCGGGGGTATATATATATATATATATATATATATATATATATATATATATATATATATATATATATATATTGGTGTATACTGGCAGCAGGTTTTCTTTCAAACATGTTTCATTGAATATGACCGCATATTCTGTATTTATTATTTTCTGGTTTAGGGCTTCTATCCCTCTAACTATTTTCTTAGCATCAGGGCTTAATTGAAATAGGAGTTCTCCAAAACTCATTTTCGTACTTTTAAGGTGAAGAAAAGAAGTGATTTACTATAGAGTGTATTACACTTATTTGTATAATTTGCACGACGTTTCGAACCTCCATGGTTCATTCTCAAGTGAACAGATCTTACAATACTAGTTGATTTTATACCCGCATTAGGTCAGGTGATAATACAATGAAGGTGAAAACACGGGGGGATACATAAGGGATAAACATAGGGGCTGCAGAAGGCTTATTGGCCCATACGAGGCATCTCCTATCTAAACACAAAGATTAATCCAGTGTAATTGGCCTGTTATGTTGGACATTGTCTTCTGTGTTGGCATCGATATGTTCTTGTCTTGTCCTTACTACAAGACAAGGACAAGACAAGAACATATCGATGCCATTATATATATATATATATATATATATATATATATATATATATATATATATATATATATATATATATATATATATATATATATATATATATATATATATATATATATATATATATATATATATTATATATATATATATATATATATATATATATATATATATATATATATATATATATATATATATATATATATATATATATATATATATATATATATATATATATATATATATTATATATATATATATATATATATATATATATATATATATATATATATATATATATATATATATATATATATATATATATATATATATATATATATATATATATATATATATATATATATATATATATATATATATATATATATATATATATATATATATATATATATATATATATATATATATATATATATATATATATATATATATATATATATATATATATATATATATATATATATATATATATATATATATATATATATATATATATATATATATATATATATATATATATATATATATATATATATATATATATATATATATATTATATATATATATATATATATATATATATATATATATATATATATATATATATATTATATATATATATATATATATATATATATATATATATATATTATATATATATATATATATATATATATATATATATATATATATATATATATATATATATATATATATATATATATATATATATATATATATGACAATGTCAGACCACGGAGGAAAAATGAAACAGGAAATTTCCTTAAGTACTTTCGTATATTAAATACATCTTCAGAAGGTCATTTTACAGATCGAGTGATGGGTATAAATAGGCAGGAAGGAGTGGTGAAGTAAGGTGAGGTACAATACTTGGACAACGCAGACGGCCCATTGGCCGTCTGCGGACTCTGGACTCTCAAATATATATTTGTGAGTCCAGAATTCTTAGATGAAGAATTTAAGAATATTGATTCGATTGGTCTTAAGCTTTGTTACCCACTGAATTTTTTGGAAGTTTGTCGTAACAAAGCTCGTCGTACATATTATAATAATGTATGCAGTGAAAGGATTCGCCCAAAGAATGTGTTATGTTTACCATATTTCTCTGGGTTTGAGAATATTGTCAAGGCCTTGAAACTTTTTAATATAGATGTAATGTTTAGCTACGAAAACACTGTTGGTAAGCTATTAGTAAGGAACAGCCCTCGTAGTGATAATTGCGTCATTTATAAAATACCTTGTAAGGAATGTAACAAGTTCTATGTCGGGCAAACATCTAAAGATTTAAAATGTAGAATATCGCAACATAAATACTCTGTAAGACATGGCCAATTGTCTAATGCTTTGTTTGTGCATTTGTCAGAAAAAGCTCATCAAATTGATTGGGAGAGTGCTTCTTCAATAACAAATTGTAAAAGCACCTATAACAGAAACATAATTGAATCTGCTTTGATACAGATCACCAAAGAAAGTAATTTGAATATTAGCAGTGGTCTATATAACTTAGATCCATTTCTAATAGATCAGCTAAAGGGCGATTTAAGTAGAATCATTGAAAAACATTTGTCTCACTAATTTATTGTATATATTTACTTCTTTATGTTATAATTACCTATATATTATGCTTGTATGTCTGCTGTATCAGATGGGCCATTGGGCTACATCGGATGTGCCAATTGGGTGCATCTGATGGGCCAATGGGCCGTCTGCGTTGTCCAAGTATTGTACCTCACCTTACTTCACCACTCCTTCCTGCCTATTTATACCCATCACTCGATCTGTAAAATGACCTTCTGAAGATGTATTTAATATACGAAAGTACTTAAGGAAATTTCCTGTTTCATTTTTCCTCCATGGTCTGACATTGTCACATTCGTAATCACGTGTTTATTTTCGTGATATACACATATATATATATATATATATATATATATATATATATATATATATATATATATATATATATATATATATATATATATATATTATATATATATATATATATATATATATATATATATATATATATATATATATATATATATATATATATATATATATATATATATATATATATATATATATATATATATATATATATATATATATATATATATATATATATATATATATATATATATATATATATATATATATATATATATATATATATATATATATATATATATATATATATATATATATATATATATATATATATATATATATATATATATATATATATATATATATATATATATATATATATATATATATATATATATATATATATATATATATATATATATATATATATATATATATATATATATATATATATATATATATATATATATATATATATATATATATATATATATATATATATATATATATATATATATATATATATATATATATATATATATATATATATATATATATATATATATATATATATATATATATATATATATATATATATATATATATATATATATATATATATATATATATATATATATATATATATATATATATCTCATTGTATCACACACACACACACACATACATACAGTGTGGAACCTCAAATTACGACTTTAATCCGTTCTGGCGCTGTGATCATCATGTGAAACTGACGTCATTCAAAACGAAGTTTCCGATTGAAAAGAATGTAAATAGAAATAATCCGTTCTACCACTGAAAAACATCAATATGATATTCGATGTTTTAAATAATGGAGCAGCCTACCTTACATACACTGAACAAACCTTTATGACATTTTTCTTTCTTCAAATTTGTTAAAAAAATATTTCTTTTTTGTATAGCAAAAGGTTCGTTTGCTTATATACTGAGATCTTTGGGGCTGACAGAATATAGATCTCAGTATATAGGCAAGACAACAACGTCTCTTTCCAGGCGATTAACACTGCATAAACAACAGGTCTCCATCAAGGAGCATATAATCTCCCAACACAACCAGACCATCACCAGAGACATCTTAACAAGCAACACAGAAATTATCGACAGATACAACGATAACAGGAGGCTCAACATCAGTGAGAGCCTACACATCAAAAAGTCAAAACCAGCAATCATCAGCCAATTAACACATAATTACATTCTACCCACTTCAAGACCCGGAACCAGCACAGAAGCAAGAGGATAGAATGTATACCCATGGTTATATGCCCATTGTATATATCCAATGTATATCCATTGTTTCGTGTTTTGTCTTTTATTTCCTGTCACCTTACCCAAAAACATTTGTATCCCATCACCTCACCCAAAAACAAATATAAGCACGATCTGAGTAACTATAAAATGTCTTTGAAAATGTGAGACGTGTTCTTACGAAAAGCTTCTAGGTGTCAGACCATAAATAAACAAGTGAAAATGAACTTTGGAGAGGTAATTTTTCCAACTACCCCCGACAGGGAAAAAAAACATAAGAAATTCTCTCAGAATTCTCATTCTTTCAGAACTATGGGTTCTGAGAGAATGTGCACCTGAGCTCAGCATTCCACTTCAACTGGTTTTTCACACATCCCTGTGTACTGGAGTTGTAGCTGATGTGTGGAAAAAGGCTAACATAGTTCCAATCTACAAAAGTGGCAGCAGGGAAGACCCCCTCAATTATAGACCTGTGTCGTTAACAAGTGTAACAGTCAAAATATTGGAAAAAATAATTAAAACTAAATAGGTAGAACACCTGAAGAAAAAGATACTTTATCGGACAGACTGTGTGGTTTTCGATCTGGAAGATCCTGTGTAACGAATTTACTCAGTTTCTATGATTGAGCCACAGAGATTTTACTGGAAAGAGATGGTTGGGTTGACTACATCTGAACCTAAAAAAGGCTTTTGACAGTTCCACATAAGAGGTTGTTCTGGAAACTGGAACATATTGGAGACATATTGGACAGGTAAGCTTCTAACATGGATGAAAAGTTTCCTAACTAATAGAAATATGAGGGCCGAAATCAGAGGCAATGTATCGGATTGGAGGAATGTCACAAGTGGAGTACCACAGGGTTCAGTTCTTGCACTGGTAATGTTCATTGTCTACGTAAACGATCTACCAGATAGAATGCAGAATTATATGAACATGTTTGCTGATGATGCTAAAATAATAGAGAAGATAAGAAACTTAAGTGATTGTCATGCCCTTCAAGAAGTCCTGGACAAAATAAGTATATGGGGCACCACTTGGCAAATGGAATTTAATGTGAATAAATGCCATGTTATGGAATGTGGAATTGGAGAACATAGACTCCACACAACCTATAAATTATGCGAAAAATCTTTAAAGAATTCTGACAAAGAAAGAGATCTAGGGATGGTTCTAGATAGAAAACTGTCACCTTAGGACCACATTAAGAACATTGTGCAAGGAGGCTATGCTACACTTTCTAACTTCAGCATTACTTTTAAATACATGGATGGAGAAATACTAAAGAAACTGTTCACGACTTTTGTTAGACCAAAGCTGAAATATGCAGCGGTTGTATGGTGCCCATATCATAAGAAGCACATCAACAAACTGGAAAGGGTGCAAAGACATGCCACTAAGTGGCTCTCAGAACTGAAGGACAAGAGCTACGAGGAAAGGTTAAGAGGCATTAAATATGCAAAAACTAGAATATAGAAGAAAAAAGAGGCGATATGATCACTATGTACAAAATAGTAACATGAATCGATAAAATTGATAGGGAAGACCCAGAACTTCAAGAACATAGATTTAAACTAACGAAACAAAGCTGCCAGAGAAATATAAGAAAATTCACTTTTGTAAACAGAGTGGTAGACGGTTGGACCAAGTTAGGTGAGAAGGTGGTGGAGGCCAAAACTGTCAGTAATTTCAAAGCGTTATATGACAAAGAGTGCTGGGGAGATGGGACATCACGAACGTAGCTCTCATCCTGTAACTACACTTAGGTAATTACTTACAACAGTTTCCACTTTGACTTAAATCCATTTATACTAACTCTTTGTTTCCTTTGGTATAACCATGCCCTAATCCAACTTAAGATAGCACCCCCAATATCATGAGCCTCAATCATTTTAATCAGTCTTTCATGTGACACAGTAATAAAAGTACAGTACCTTGACTTCGCTAAAGTCAAGGTACACGACGTCACAAATCTTTCCACTATCAACTGCCTCAATTATGCTGGAACAGAATTATTATTAATATAAATTTCTGCATTATTCAAATAAATCATTGTAATATATTCTTATGCAAATTATGAATAAATATTTATTTATTGATTTATTTATATACAGTACAAGAAGGTACATTAGGTTTATGAGAGTACAAAGCATTGATGTTTTTACATTCTTGTAAAGTCACTAACACGCATAGCATTTCAGGAAGAATATAGTATCATTACTCTTACAATATCAAAGACTGTCTTCTTCCTCCCAGAAAATGTGCAATTTTCATCACTGTTATCAAGGAAAAATTAGAGCCACACATCCATGGATCATCCATTGGTCTACATTGGCAGATACAGAAATGCAAATTCCAAGAGACATTTATAACCGAGTCTAAGCTGAGCAATAGCAACATCTAGAAGTCTGCTGACCTTACTGGACATGCTACTTTTCCTAGATAATAGTATAATGATGGCTGGAATAACTGACTGACGATTTGTGGTGAGTAGCGTAGTGCAAGGTTCCATCTTGGGGCCAACTCTTTTTTGTCATATACACTAATGACAGATGAGAACATTACTAACCACATTATGAAAGTCACAGATGCCACAAAGATTTATGGCATCTGTGGAAGGAAGTATAAAGTAGAAAGCAAAAATGGTATTAAAGCATTACAAAGAAATCTACATGAATTCCACAGTGATTAGAAGACTACCAAAACATTGCTGAATCTTAACATTGAACTCAATAAAATCATCAGGACAGATGGGGGGAAACCTTTGACAAACTGTCAGCTTCCTGTCTTCGTCATGGCCAATAGAGTTAGTGCCTTATGCCGGTAAATGAGTGCTGATCTCATCAAAACTTAAAATAATGCACAAATTGAAAGATATTGATCCAGACAACTTTAAAATGTCAGATATAACACGTGCAAGAAGCAACGGCTTCAAGACATTACTGCCTGTCTAGGTACAGGCAGCCAGTGTATATATACATGTTAGGCTTATATCGAGTCCCCCCCTCCCCGAGGGTTGAATTACTGACCCCCTCCCCCCAGAATGTAACCCCCACAGCAAGCTGACTAACTCCTGTGTGCCAATTTACATTTATATGAACAGGGGCCATTAGGTAATAAGCAATGCTCTAACCATTTCTGTCCTGCCTGGGAATCGAACCTGGAATTTCTGATTGTGATTAGAGGAGAGTACAGTACAGTAGATCACTCAGCTAAAATCTGCTATCAGAATTATATCAAACTCTGTCTTCAGACAACACATAGCCCCTCTGTTCAAGTCCCTTAACATGCTAAATATACACTCACCCTACACATTCTCACATGCTATTTATATGTACAAACCCTTATTCCTAAATGCTAATCTTGATTTGAAACTTTTCCTTGATAGGTGTAATCAAACCCATGAGCATCACATCAGAAATAAATATCTCTTTGATATCCCCAGTCAGACTAACCTATGCGAACACTCCATGCAAATAAAAGAGCCCAGTCTTTGGAACTCATTCCCTGATGAATGAAAAAATTGTGCAACCTATGCCTTATTCAAAAGGCATACCCATTTTCCCAATATTAGTATTTAAGACATATCTTCACCAGTGTAATCACCTCTGTCAATTTATATTGTAGTTATTTGTTGATATAAAACCTTCCTACAATGTACCTTTTCATGTTACCTGATATGTTAAATTAAGTACCTGCCCAAAATGGCTTTGCAAAATGTAAAAATATCGATCTTATATAATCTCACCAACCCATTGTACCTTCTTGTGAATAAATTATTATTATTATTATTCATAATTTGGTAGAGATTGAAAGTCATTGATGTCTTCTATTTGTGTGAGGATAAATGAGAAAATAAACATTTGTGGAAATGGACTCAGGATGGCAAGGATGAGGAGTTGTGTTAATGGTGGTATCAATGTGTTTCTGTTTTATGAAAAGTGTGACGTTGAGTCAAGAGACTGAGTTTGTGAGTCGAAGTATGTTTGGGAGTTAGTCACAATTCAGAAAGGTTAGGGTAGATTATGGTAAGTTAGAGTACATTAAGTAACATGGGGGTTAATGTGTATAAGGTAAGGTTGGGGTAGGTTAGATGACGATGGGTTATGTTATCGCATTTCCAATTTTTACATCTAGGATGTGATTGTGTCGGCCTTCTTTGACATGCCAGTAGCACACCTTGTTAACTATCTGGGAGTGGTTGGAGGATGTGTCGTGGGAGTGTTTTGTGTAGTTTTTCAGTCAAAGTGCCAGGTCGCTGGGAGGTTTGTACAGCTGGGGATCTCTTACTCTTGGTGCCGGTGATTGTGGTTTGTGGCAAGTCAGTATGGGGAGTGACTTAGGTAAGGTGTGCTAAGGAGTTTTTCCAGCATCAGTTTAAACGATTTATATGCAGCATTGTTAGTTGTGTTAAGGTGGATGTCATTGTCTTGCTTATGCGTGCCTCTATTGCCGTGAAGTAAAGGTTTCTGTCATTCCGACAGGTTGGTTGTTGGTTGCGGGGCGATATCGAGGATAGAAATAGCATAAGCTACTGTATCCTTTAGAGATGTACTTCCTTTTCTCAATAAACTTACTTGAACTTGAGTAGCGACGAGGATTGAGGGAATTCCGACAAGGGATTCGTGGATCAATAATAATAATAATTTTTATTTTTATTATTATTGATCCACGAGTCCCCTCACATGTGGTGAGCACGTGGTTTGTGACGTCACTAATGTCAACAATAACAATATCAAAACGTGTACGACCGGGGACTGGTCGAATCGTATATAAGCGTTTCGGATACTGTCAGTTTTGTACACAGATAACTAGTTCGTTCACAAACAAGTTTGTATACAAATTAAATAAAACAAATTAACAACAAATAATAGGGGTAGTAGGAGAGGAAAAGATTAAAGTGTTCAGTGAGAATCTACAAGGTCTTCTCTGAACACTGTATTTTCTTCTTCGAGGATGTGGGTCCCTTCAATAACACGAACTCTTTCGTATATTAAGGACCTGCCCGAAACGCTGCGCGTACTAGTGGCTATACAAGAATGTAATTACTATGCTATGTATCCTCACGATCCCAATGTACCTTCTTGTATATATATAAATAAAATAAAATAAAATATTTACATATTCGCTGCTGTTCTCGTCTTCCAACCCGCCAAACACACACCGAAACTACGACGTTGGTACAACGTTCGAACAAGTTTTAACACCTCCTAACCAGTTATAACAACCAATATAGCAAGTTGTAACAACAATCAACTTCAGAATGGTCCAGGACGGACCAAAACGTCGTCGTCCCTTCATCTTCTAGTGTGTGGTCTGGTCAACTTACTTTAGCCACGTTATTGTGACTCATCGCCTGCAAGTTGTAACAACGTTCTAATACGTCATGAACACGTTAAGCCAAGATGTAACAACTTTATTACAAGTTGTAACAAGCAGAAAATAGAGACAGTTTCGGTTTGTGTTTCCATGGAAGACACTATTATGACCAAAACGAGACAATAAAAGTTGCTAATAAGTTAAGAATAGAATATGAATATGAACACACAAGAATATGAATAAATAAATAGCACTTGATCATACAATTAGCGCGTCTTCTCGCGCTAATTAGGAGTGCTCCAGCTAACTGGAGTCCATTGTACATTCTAGTTTATGTGATCATTCTATCGACTTCAGAAAGGCGAAATGTATCGTTAATTTCGTTGAACAAAATGTGACTGAGTCAGCTTTGATCAAACAATGTAACAACAGCCGTAATGTAAGCCCTGGCATGTACAAATTAGATCCCCATATAAGCTTCAATATAGCACGTCAATACAATATTTCTGCGGATTGGAAGAAAACGCTCACAGAGTGGGACTTAATTTATTTTTATATTAATAAATAATAATTAATTATTTATTAAATACAAATAATTAATGAATAATCATAAGTGATTAAGTAATTGATAATCCTTAAATGAAGAAGCATATTAGCTCATTATAACGAATAAATAGATAATTAAAGTGGATAATTAATTATGGTGACTAATAATGATTAGTGAATAACCATAAATTATTATACTGAAATAATATTAATGGATAGCCGTTATAATGACGATTAAATCAAATACAGTGAAGTGACATCTCTAATTAGTTTTGGGGGTTCCGTCGGAGCACCCCCAAGGTAACAGATTCGTTGCAAGATGGAACCAGTGTCCCCAGCAAACTGCTTTAACGTTTTCCCTTGGAAATAAAACTGGGGAAGCAGGGTTTCCCGGGAGGAGGGTGGGCGTTTTGTGGTGAACTGGCGAGGGAGAGGCGAGCAAGAGGTCGCCGAGTCCGCGCACGCGCGTTTAAGTACCCCACTCGATTTCCCGCGCGCGCGCTATTTAGTCGGTTAGACACAAAATCATAGTAATACGTTTTCGTTCCCCGCAGAACTTCACCGCTTTTGGGAAAAGCAGTGACTATATCTTCCATTTAACCTGCGTTTATTTATTCCAGTGACATATTTTCCAGTATTAGAACTTATATATATATATATATATTTGTGTGAGTGAGATGGTTATTAATACGAGCTGATAAATATGATATACGAAACGTACAAATGTGTCCGAAATGGTAAAAAAAAAAATATGTGTGCGATCCGTCTCGTGTGTCGGGGGTATCCCGCCAAAATACCGAAAGCTATCACCAACCTTATTATGAGTAAATATATCATATTTATTCATTACTAACTTATTGCTAGGAAGCTTTGTGAAGCTCGTGTAGCTGGTGGTAGCTTTCGGGAACTAGATGTAGTTCTGGAAGGTTCTCGGGAGGTGTGAGGACAGAGGAAGCTTCGTCATGAGGGGTGAAGTCAGAGGTATTAGACACCTGCTCCACCAGTTCTGTTATACTTCAGCTGACCATAGCCCCGTGATGACGCCTAATAAGTACCCTATTTTAAGTAAGTTTGATTAGAATTTAGTTGTAAGGGTAAATACTGTATTTACATTTACTACGAGTTTAGTAATTGAGGTTTAAAGTTAACTTAGCAAAAGGGTCAGTAATTTGATAACAAAATATTTATGGGAGGGGGGGGGGAAAGGAACATCAATATAAGCCCAATATATCTATATACACTGGCTGCCTGTCCCCCTCGACAATGAATTATTCTGACCTAATAACCATGAACTTTTGCATTTTGATATTTTGCAAAGTGGTTCAGTACACAACTTTGTCCACAGTAGATTTCATATATAGGGTACAGGAATCCTTTTGTATCTACTATCTACGATTAAAATACAGTATGTACAGTAGCTTGTGTTAGCTATTGTTGTCTTTTTCCAAGATAAAATTTGTGTGTGTTAAGATACACAAGACAGTATGACACGGCTCATTTTCCGACTGTCAGAATCATATACAGGTACATTATTAGGTTAGGATGTTAGGCTTGATTGGGCTAGGTTTGCAAACTTGGGATAATTGGTTGAAATTTCTTTTAAATCATCTTGAATTAAATAATTTGTTTAAATTTGCAATAGTTATCTCTACTCATTTTTTTTGCACATTCCCTCACATAGTGATGCAGGGTGTGTAAATAATTTTTGACAGTTTATATTTGATCAGGTCTGTATTGGCAGTGTAATGCATACTCTAAGATTCTTATAACTAAGTAGTAATAACAAGTATGAGTATGCTATAATTTTCTTTGATTATCCCTTGCTCTTTGGTCATCTTGCATGGTGGTAGTGTGATAGATGAAAGAGCTAGTGTAAATTTCACTTTGTTTTAGATCTGCAAGGTTTTGTTGAAGTTCTTTTTGTTTTAAGGCATCTTATAAGTAATCTAAGGTTATAGTCAACTCCTTTGAGGGCATATTCTTTGCCCAACCCATCTCTGTTCTATCATCAGACACTAATGATAGAACAATTCAGCACAATTAAAGTTGATAAAGAATTTCCTAAAATTAGTATCAAGTTGGAGACATTTGCACATTTGAGTGCAAGGAGTATGACATACAGTACCTATTTCACTTAAATACAAAGTTAACCGGAATTACTCCTTGAACTTTTTACAAGGCCAGAATTAAGCAGATATCAATTCAAGGGTGTTGAGGTATATTTTGTCTATATTGTTAACAACACTGGGTAGCCAGCACTGTACTGCTACTCGAGAGTATATGAGAGGTTACAGAGTGTAAGTGGTCAAGAGCTAGTTGGGATCACCTAATACATTTTTTATACAAGAATTTTTACATCCTTGTAAAGCCACTAGTGTGGTAGCATTTCGGGCAGGTCCCTAATCCTATTTTTTTCCCCCGAATACACCCCGCCAAATTGTTTAACAACCAGGTACCCATTCACTGCTGGATGAACAGAGGCTACAGTTAAGGACTGGCACCCGGTCAATCCTCCCTGGTAGGATACGAACCCAGCCCAAAGCGCTCATGAAGTGCCGGGCGAGTGCTTTATCACTACACCACCGGGACTGCTAAACTGTAGCAATACTACAGTATACCTGTACTGTATCTCCCATCTCGCCAGATAATTTGCCATGCATATGATACACTAGTTAGCCTGCACAGCTTTACCATGATCCGTGATCCTAAGGGTAAAGGTTCCAAAGTCTCTGACCAGGCTTCCTTTCAGCAAACTTCAGCTATACTTAAGCATTAGGATATCTTTGAATATTCTTGAGCGAATGAAATTACACAGCTCCTGATACCATAAGAATAAATGAAACTGCAGAATGCCTATAGGCCCATATCACTTGTCATTTGGTCTAAAATCATTGATAATTGGGCATTCATCAACATTATAGAGTATCAATAACTTTGTTATAATATAAAACATAGGTTGTTGCATGATACAGTAGTCTATAAAGATCACGTATAAGTGTATATATTACAGTATTATAATATGCATTAGCACTATATCGACTGGCTACCTGTTACCTACCCTGTTGAAAATTTTGGGGATCAATGTCCCCTTGGCCCAGTCTCTGACCAGGCCTGCTTGTCTGATCTACCAGATTGTTTGATGTGGCTGCTCGCAGCCTGATGAATTAGTTACAGCTTGGTTGATCAGGTATCCTTTGAAGGCGTTTGTCGAATTCTCTTTTGAACACTGCAAGAGGTATGTGTAGAGGAAGTGTGTTGAAAAGTCTTGGGCCTTTGATACTGATGAGTTCTCTCTGTGAATCTATTGCACCTTGGCTCTTCAGTGCAACTATTTTGCAGATCTTTCCATGCCTCCTGGTCTTATTTCTGTGTTCAGATTTCGTATCTGTCCTTCTAATATTTTCCAAGTGTAACTAATTCGATATCATTTCTGCCTGCACTCTAGGGAATGCAGATTTAACATTTTTAGGCGTTCCCGATAATTTAGATGTTTTATTGAGTGGATTCTAGCAGTAAAGGATCTTTACACGCTCTTCAGGTCAGCAATTTCTCCAGCTTTGAATGAGGCTATTAGTGTGCAACAGTATTCCAGTCAAGAGAACACTAATGTCTTAAAAAGTATCATCATTGGCATGGTATCTCTTGTTTGGAAGATTCTTGTTATCCCACTTGTCAGTTTTCTTGCAGCTGTGACAGCATCTTTGTTGTGTTATTTGAAAGTAAGGTCTTCTGACATGATTTCTGTACTACTTAAACTTCTACATTGCTTTTTCTTTCCATATTGTGGTTTGACTGTTTTATGTGGTTTCCACTTTGATGTATTCATTTTTTCCATAGTGCAGTAATTGGAACTTAAACACATCATGTTGTTTTCTGTGGCTCATTGAAAGACTTGACTAACATCAGATTAGGGGTTTGCTGTGTCCTCTATGTTGTCTACTCATTTAAATTCTAATGTCATCTGCAAAGGATGATAGAGTACTATAGTTTGCAGCCTTGTCTAATATGAGGATGAGGAAAAGTACTGGAGCAATCATAGTACATTTGGGGGACTAACTTTTCACGGTGGATGATTCAGATTTTACTTTGTTGATTATTACACTCTGGGTTCTGTTTGTTAGGAAGTTGAAGATCCATCTCCCTACTTTCCAGTAATTCCTTGTGTGCAATAACACCTTGGTCACATTTGTCGAAGGCTTTTGTGAAGTCACAAAAGTATGGTTTAGATAATCCAAATGTGAAAATTGATAGAGAACCTAGAAAAGCAACAGAAACTGCAAACTGATGTATGTGAAGGATCAAGTTGGATACCAGTCCAGAAGTGGTGGGAAGAGCTGGACTGAGCAGGCCATATGGGACCCCATAATAAAATGCAGCTAACAAAACACCAATTTTGTCAAGACAGGGTGCATGATTTGGACTAAGGGAATTGGATTAGTTATCTCCCAATGACCATAGTTGAAATAGTGCATCCAATGCAAATGCCATTTGATTTGAAAATGGGCTACACACAAGAGTCTTGTGGTTCCAAGTGTTGGCAAATAGGTCCAATTGAGGATGATAGAATTTAGTGCATATCCACTGAAAGGAAGCATTGTCAACTCCCCAGTTCCATCTCATTTAGATGAGACCAAGAGTCCATCAGTGAACACATTAGAAATCTACAAAATGTGAGCCACCTTGAGAACTAAACAATAAGAAGATAGATACAAAAGTGAACCATAAAAAATACTTTACCTATCAACGTATCCTAAAAATATGAGTGACATAACTTGACACAAATGTGTGAGAAACTAATTTTTTTTAGGCTATTAATTGGAGAAAGGCATTTTCAATGCTGGGATTAACATAACTCAAACCTGCAATTTTTGCTAGCAAATATAGTTCATACCATTTTCCCACAATAGTACAAAATATCTTGTAATACTGTATGTGAATGTAGTTCATATCATTGTCTAGGCCTCTGTAGTGCCAGACATTTTTTGTAATTTGCAATAATAAATTTTTTTGTAATTTTGCTTGCATGATTTGTTACAGCACTTAAACCTTAGTAATTAAGGTTACAACGTCTAATGGTTTTCAGTAAGTCTATATCCTCATCGGGGAAACTAATACAACACAGGCAACATCTGGATCACCTTGGATCATATGGAAAATGTTTCAGGTTAACTTTGGTGACCATTTACATTGTTTTTGCTCTGCAAATATGGTTGGTGGTATGATATAGATGTTTTACATGTTTATACCACTGTAAGCAAGAGAAAAACTGGTGAAGTACCTGTTTCTCGGGTCACTTTGCCTGCAAATATTTATATATATATATAGTGAGGTTTGTGTTGATATATCAGTTTGTTTTGAATGTATGGCAACCATTCCAGTGTCATTTAAATGAAAGATATCTTCCCTTTTGATTCATATCATAACTTTTGCAGAACTAAAAAATATTAATAATGTATTTTGCAATCCACTGACAAAGACAAAAACATTGTTTAAAAGATGGTGACTTTACATTCATTTATATATAATACTGTCAACAGTGCAGTATATCATTCTTTGCAGCTTATGTAATTTGTTAATACTGTACTGTTCCAACCTGTTGACAATTTTGGAGATCAGGTCCCTACGGCCCGGTCTCTGACCAGGTATAATACTGTATAATATTTGTATAAATATTATAGTGTTTATACATTTATTGAATATTTAATATTTATTATTTCAGGTAAATTGAGGCAATTGAGGCCAAGAATGAAATTGGTGTTATTTATAATACTGGCAGTTGTAGTAGTAATGGTAGCCACCATACTATTTTATGTAAAGATACTGAGCACCAATGGTATTGGAAACCCTGCTACGAATGAATCACGTGCGTGCAAGGATGTTGGATGTAGTGATGGTTCTGGTAAGTATATTTTGTTAAAAAACAAGTTTCTTTTAATTCTCTAAAATACTGTCTTTACAGTGGAACCTCGGGTACCGAACGTCCCTTTTTACGAATTTTTGTGGTTATGAGCTCAGTTTTTTTGGAAAATTTGAATCGGGTTACAAACTTTGCCTCACCTTGTAACTTGTAAGGTCGTAATCCAATTCGAATTTTCCGAAGAAATTTAGTTCTTAATAAAAAATTTTTTTAAAGAGGGACGTTCGCTACCCGATGTGCCACTGTATACAACTGTATACACTGTATGCTCATCTTAATCTCTGTAATGCACTGCGTTTATTGTGAAATTCTCCTTGTGCGCCGAATATCAAGTGTTCGCAAAAAAAAAAATTGTAAAATGATAAATTTCCTTTCCTGAACATGTACTGTACATGTAAAACAAAATATAAAATTACACTTTGGCTTGTAACACCGCTCTAATGTAACACCAATCTATTGTAACACCACTATAATGGATACTAAACTAATAATGTAAACACTACTTATCCTGAGTAACACTTCCCCATCGGTTGCACTTGGTAACACCGTTATGAGCTGACATAAGATGGTTACACCGGAACTAAAAGGTACACTGCCAACAAGGAAATGCTAACACAGGATTAAATACGCTGCCACCATCTGCCTTTGACCATTGAGACTATATCAAGCAACGAGGCAAGAAACATTGCTTGACTTGGAGAGTACTTTCTATGACTGTCATTAATTATGAGAACGGTTGTCAGCCACTATATCCAAAAGGCTAAGAGGATTCAACAATGGACACAGACGGGAAATTTAACATGAGTTTATTGAGACCAAAATTATGTCAATCACCACTTATAAATCCTACTCTAACACTGGCAAAAAAAGTTAAGAAATTTGGACATGGAACAAAACCTCAGAGATCACACACATTACCTTAAGACCTCTGTCTCTCCCTCTGTCACCTCCCGATGTTCTCCACAGCCCTCTCTGGACCCCGGTGTCCGGCACTCTCTTCTTACTAAGTCCCTACAGGACCTCTATATACAACCCCCACAGGGGGGAAGGGGGAGATCTGCTGTTGCTACCCACCAAGAATGTAAGAGATCGGCCACACGTGTACAAACACTCAAGAAGTTTCATTAAACTTGTTTGACATTCACCATACACTCTTCAAGAGAGGAGTTATTAATTACGTGTGTGACTGACCTCTGACCTGGCCATAAGGGGGAGATCCATGGATGTTTACACATATGAATCTGGGGTCTAATTCCATTGCAATGTTTGACAAGAATATCACGAAATATTATATACTGTACTTGAAACTATGCTGACTAAGACTAACCCAGGAATTTTTAATCAACATACAAGATAATCCGGAGGTCATCTGGGCTGACCTCTTGGAGAAGGCTTCCCTGAGTGAGAACTCTAAGGAGGGGGGGGGCATGGGTGTTACAGGCTGTAGGGACGTGGACAAAGTGGTGCGTGACGTCATCACAGGCTGGTTGCCCGTGCGTGAAGCTCCCAGACACGGTTGTGCGGACCATTCATGCCTCGCGAGTTGCCACAGATATAATTACAAATAATATTTCTATGTATTTTCAATGCTTTATAGTAATTTTTTTGTATCTGATGCATGTATATGTCCTTTCCAATATTAATACAGTAGAACTGTGATTCATGTGTCAGTAATATGACCACAATAAATGTTTACTGTCACAATATTGCTTGTTCAGAATTCACTAATATTACATTATGTACAGTTTCACACACTATTTACACAGCAACACACTGTATTACATAGTACTTTAGAAGTGAATGATAATCAAAGAAGCAGTCCATGGTAGACAGAGCGACTTCGCTCTCGATGCACCAGGTACAAACAGATTTTCACTTCCTTGTTTCTTCGTTCTGTGTGCTTTCAAATAATGCACCCATGTACACCCTTGGCTTTAGTACCTGTAGGTGGTATGTAGCCAAGCTTGTAAGTGTAAGGTATTCTTGAACAAATTATATGAAAAGATCAATTTGTTAGGTAGTCTTGAAAAGATCTCTTTGTAAGGTACTCTGGAGTGATTCAGCTGTTCTGGAAGAGATTCAGCTATTCTTGAAAAGATTGATGGAAAATACCATCATGGAAGCTGCTAACACTTCATTCTATCTTCATCTTCATCTATTTTTATCAGATGCATCATCACTTAACCCAGAAAATGATTCATCCATGTATCATCTATAAAAATTGGGGATAACATGGGTGAGCATGGGTGGCGCTCAGCTACTACTGGATACACTCGCTGTATCGTCTTAATCGGTGCTGTATCACTTGCATCTGACCCTTGTGTTAGGTCCTTATTGTGCCTAGCTTCAGCAATATTATGACCCTTATTTTCTTCAGACAATAAGGTCTGAATTTTACCGACAGAGCGATCTTTCAACACTACATCGGACAGGTGGTTGGGAGCCAGAGGCGCGTGTGCCACCCATGGTTGCTCACTCAGAACTAAGCCAGCCAGCAGCCCTAGATCATTCTGGGAATTTTTTTCCAAGATGGCTGCCTCTCACTGAAGGTCCCAAAAGTTCATTTAGTACACAATCTACCCCATGCACGTTTTGAATGGGTGCAAAATATTAAAAAGGTGTTTTTTCGGCTCTCACAATTTCCCACTGGCAGAGTTTTCTCGGCCGGCGCAGTCAAGTGGTTAATAGCCTTCAACACCGCCAGGTGCAAGAAATAAAAAAGTTCAAATTTGTTTTTCGTCTTAGAAAAGTGTTCATTTGTATTCTCTGATCACGGGGGTGGGGGAATCATAGGTGACATATTATGGTCGCAATAGGACAGGGAAGTCTGGCAAAATTGAGGTACAGTATTGAAAAAGTAAGCATCCTGTGGCGGTCTGCTCCACCCACACTGACAAGCAGGAGTTCCACATAAAGATGGTATTACCTAATTATTTCAATATCTGATTGATTGTCTTTTTTTTTTTTTTCTTCAGTAATATTATTTAGTAGGGTGTAGTGTGATATATTTATATAATAAAATGTGTGAACCAACTGAACAACTAGGCTGGTATAGTGTCCAAACCACATAGTGGCTACCAATACCCCAACCAGCAGACTATGCTACCTCACTCACCAACATTCCTCATCCCACTACTGTTTGTGCAGTTATTACTCTATATGCACAAGTTATATATAAGTATCTACATGTTTTATTCACCATAACTGTACAACTAAGCTGGTATGGTGTCCAAACAGCATCGTGGCCACCATACACTGCATGACAAGTCACACACCAGCCAGCAGATGACAGCCTCACTCCCACCCTCACCAAACCTCCCTCGCCAAAATGGTTCCTCCCAACATACTTTTTTGCTGTTATTACACTATATACACACACGTTACATATGAGTATTTACATTTGTGTTCACCATAGCGAACCACTAAGCTGGTATGGTGAGTCCAGACAATAACAGGTCGCCACACACAGTCTGCAGACAATAACACCTCTCCCTCCTTCAAGATTACTCCTCCCACCATACTACGCACATTGCTAATTCTCACTACAATCCTGCTATTATCAGAGTCCTGGTCACTAAATCCTGTAAATTAATAATTTTCCACAAGTTTATTTTGTAAAGGAACATGAGAAGTCGTTTGAAGATTCTTAGATGGATGAAACAGTGGCAGTGTGCTGTGGCTAGTGCTGTGAACATCTTGAACAGCATTGTGTTCACTGATATCTGAACATTGTACACAGTCTTTATCACAGTCAGGCTCTTCTGTAATACTATCATGGCAAAATAATACCAGTTACATATATGTGTTTTTTGACATTTTTAGGTGATGCTGTGGTTATAAGCTGAACAGCAGTGCTGTTAGCTCATGCTGCATGCGCCAGCCTTAGTTGCTCACTCAGTACTCAGGCCTTCACACCCGGGAATGTTGCCCACGATTTTTTTTTTTAATGGGATCTGTTTACTAGAGCCCTGAGGAAGCTGATGTGAACCCTGTGTAACTGCGGGACTTTTAAATCTTTCGCGGTACTCCCAACCATTCATAGCTGTTGTGCTGTTTTGCAATACTGTACTGTAGTTACTCACCCTAGCTATAAATGTATTGCACCCTTTGAGGGTTAATATAACAGCTGCACCATCCAGGGGTTAATGACAGCTTCTTTATCATTTTATAAGACATGTTTATGTTAGGATGTACTGTACAGTGTACCTATAATGTGTGGTAGTGATTGTAAATATCTGGCAAAATTGTACTTAGTAATTTTCTTGATTTAATGTATTTAATTGGATTATATAGGATTGATGCCAGAGGCTGGAAGAAAATTTGACAATACAGTACTGTATATCTTGATATAATTATATTTTCTTCACAGAATGTTTACTTCATAAACCTACACAAGCGACTGAAGATGCCTTTTTGGAAGATGCCAAACAAGATCTTGGCAAAAATGAACCAGAATATTTGAACAAATTAAATTTTCGTGGTCCTTTGCCCAAAGTGATGCGATGTCTGACTCCACTAGAAGGTTGCAAGTACCCTTTCAAGTATAATAGGGCAGCAACTTATGTAAATACAACAGCATCAGTTGATGTAGAATACTTAGGAAAAATGTATAAACTGAATATAGGTTATATGGAAGATCAATGCTGTTATTGTACTACTGAGAGAGCTGGGGTGGAAGATAATAGCAGACCTGCGGGTCATTTTCCCCAAATCCATAGTGTATATCTGAGTAATTTACCTTAATGCAGATAAACATTACTTGCTTATCCTCGTCGCAGCCCTTGTGGATTTATTTGATGCATCACGTTAGTGATGCATCAAATAAACTCTGTGTGTAATGATGTAAGGGCGAACGGCCTATTGACATAACTCAGGTGCAGGGGGGGGGGGGGCATTGTGTAAAATCCTGGTTTGTGCCTCGGAGAGGCTACGGGATCCAGTAAGTTCAGTAGAACTTCGGTTTCAACCCTTTTAACCCTATCATAGCTCAGTCGACTACTTGCTTATATCAGAATTTATATCTATACTTGAAAAAAGTTTTTTGGCTGGCACATCTTTTCCACTTCGTTATTTATTTACTGCAGAACCAATAAAAGCTTTAACTTTTACTTGACTTTCAATCTTTCATAAATAATTAATTAAACTGTTAAGTTAAATTTTTGTTGTACCACAGCATGTTAATTCATTTATATTTACTACAGTAATAATATACCACTCTTACATTACCTATTGTTTATTTCCTTGGAAGGCATAAGTCTATAGATAAAAGATGAATAATATACTGAAAAAGGATCGAGATATTACAATATAAAAGTATTATTTGTCCACTCATTGCAATATTTATGCAGTATACTGTAGTATCACAGATAAACATGTACCATTACGCTCTAGTAGTTCTCCACTGCAGTACTCTGTTTTCATAAGACCAGGTGTACAGTACAAACAAATACATTTACACTCTACAAACTGTTTTCACCCCACCCAGTCATGTCCCCTACTACAGGCCATTCGTATGGCAAGAGGCAGGAAGTGCTAGTAATAAATTATTTTTCACCTTAATCTTTTCCTTGTCATGTCCTATTAAAATACACTGAACAGTTAATTTTTTGCATCATAGTATAGAATGACTATAAATTCTTTAGAAAGTGCACATTAGTAAAGTTAATTCTAGGTAAGAACATAATAAAGGTAACTGCAGAAGGCCTATTGGCCTATTCAAGGCAGCTCTTATTTATATCTACTAAAATTAATTCATATACTGTACAGTGGTACCTCGCAATACGAGTGTCCCTGTATACGAGTTTTTCGGAATACAAGCAGGATTTGCTCGGAAGACGAGGGTGTTGATACCCGTACAAGCCGACTAGCACGTGGTAGCACGGCGATCGCGCCTCAGTTTAGCAGTGCCTCGTGCCCAGTGACTATCCCGCCTGAATTCTTCACAAGGATTTACAATTTTTTTTTGTTTTTTTGCCCATTTGAGCATAAAAGTTATTATATATCTGTCCATGTGTCTCAAGAAAGCCAGTGGTAAGGTTCAACCTAAGAAAATAGCTGTGGGTAGAGGCAGTAGAGGATGTCCCTTCTTCATTAAGAAAATGTGTGAAGTATGGGAAGAACTGCAAAGTTTTGTTGAAAAAACTCGCCCAGATAAAGCTGTAGCAGGCTGTTGCATTGAGCTTTTAAATGACAATGTGATGTCTTACTACAGACAAGTGTTAAAATATAGGGAAAAACAAGTGTCTTTAGACAGAGTCTTAGTAAGACAAGCAAACAGTGAGCCACAAGCAGGTTTTAGTGGCATGCAGGCAAAACATGCCAGAGTGTATCCCAGAAAAGTCATCACTGCCTGATGTTATAATGGAAGGGGACTTCCCTTCCAAACAGTAACACCTTTCCTCCTCCCCCCTCCTCACCATCTTCCATACGCCAACAGCATTCATCAACAAGGGTAAGTAATAACTTGAACATAGTTTTGTAGGTTTATTTAGATAAATTTGGTATAAAATTTAGTTTGAAGTGAGGTTTTTGGGTAGTCAGGAACGGATTAATTCATTTCCCATTATTTCTTATTGGGAAATTAGCTTCAGATTACGAGTTTTCGAAATATGAGCTGTCTCCAGGAACGGATTAAACTCTTAAACCGAGGTACTACTGTACTATAAATGTCTAACCAATGCTTGAAACACTCTGGCAATCCCACATCTGATATGTTACCCGGTAATTTATTCCATAAATTAACTTCCCCATTCAAAGAAAAAAAAATACCCAAGTGTTTTTTAATCTAATCTTGTCAAATTAAGAACATAAGATTTAAAAAAAATATGCAGAAGGCCTATTGGCCCATACAAGGCAGCTCATATTTATATTTACCCAAACGCATTCATATATATTCTGCATATCTAACCTCCCATATGAAGAGAGATTAAGAAATCTTATTTCAAATGTATGTCAGGTAAATATGATTGGGTGTGGTTGGATGTAAATAGCTGCTGCCTCGAATGAGACAATAGGCTTTCTGCGGTTTCTGTTGGTCCTGTGTTCTTCACAATCTTGTGATGTTTCATCGTGTGCTATCTACATTACTTTATGATATTTTCATTTGTTACTCCTTTTCTCCCAATGGTACATATGCTTATCAGACTGTTGATTTCTACAGCCAGTCTGTATATAAGGAAGGCTCTAGCACTCTTGAATTGTATCAGCTACATTCTTTCCTGATTTGCCATGTTCTTTGATTCCATAACTACTACCTTTATCATTTTACAGGTATTTAAACTGAAATATCAAGCACTTATCCAAATTGTTTCAATTGTTGTGTGTTTTATTTTGTGTTGATACAATTGACACTATTAATGTTTCGCTTGATATACCCTTTCATCCATTTGTATACCTCAATTATGTCCTTATTCTTTGCCTATCAAGGTTCATCAGTCTAGGGATCGGGTGGCAATTTTTAGAGTATTTGATGGAAAAAACAGTGAGCAGGACTTTAAACTGCAAGAAAGGAAGTGCACATCAGTTGCAAAAATTACATAATAAACCATCTTTAAAGTTCTCTTAGATTGTATTTTGTAAATTGCAGAAGCCTAACAAATATGTCGGATGATCATAAAGCACTTATGTGTACAGAGAAAATTGATCTAGTAGCAATTACAAAGACGTGGCTAAACGTGGACTCGAAAGACCTTTAAACCCACGTACAGTACTCTATCAAATTAGAGGCGTCTAACTTACTTTCATGTAGATAAAACAGGCAGTAGAAGTGGAATGGTGAGATTTATAAGGGAATAAGAAATTCATTGCTATGCCAGAGATAAAGACATGGACCATATGGAAATAATTTGTATAGAAGTGGCTGAGGGTAATGAACAGGAAATCCAGTCACAGATGTGTTTCTGCAACTGGTTGAAGCTTCCTTACTTGATTTGTAAATAAACCTACCAGGGATAATGGAATGGACTTTGGGCCCTAGTTTAGAGGACGGGCTGGACTCAGATTTGACAAACGGTGTTTGAAGCTTTGGTCTTAATATCAGCCCGTCCTCCAAAGACCAAAAAGTGATTCCATGCGCCCGCCAAACCCCCTGTTTATAAATGAAAACCGGTTTACACACGACTGTTGATGTTTGAACACTTCCAGAACAAATGCTTCACTGACAAACTTTGTTAGAACCACAATGATGTAAATGCTTCACCCATGTACTACAAATACAAATAATTGCGAACAGAAACTAAACACTTAACCTATGCCTATATATGCTAATACATTATAATATTAATTTATATTTAAGAAAATTCTCGTTTTGAATAAACAGCATGATAAATTTATGAATGCATCTGTGGGGTCGACCGCTGGATGTAATGGACTCGAGTAGAGTACAGGTTAACATAAGAACAAAGGTAACTGCAGAAGGCCTATTGGCCCATGCAAGGCAGCTCCTATTTATAACCATCTAATCCCACTCATATACATGTTCAACCCGCATTTGAATCAATCGAGGCATCCCACCTCCACCACGTTACGCGGTAATTGGTTCCACAAATCAACAACCCTGTTACTGAACCAGTATTTATTCAAGTATTTCCTAAATCTAAACTTATCCAATTTATACCCATTGTTTTGTGTTCTATCTTATGTTGATACTTTTAATACCCTATTAATTATCTATCTTACCTATCGATCCCGGGCGCCGGCAAGAAACAATGGGCAGAGTTTCTTTCACCCTATGCCCCTGTTACCTAGCAGTAAAATAGGTACCTGGGTGTTGGTCAGCTGTCACGGGCTGCTTCCTGGGGGTGGAGGCCTGGTCGAGGACTGGGCCGCGGGGACACTAAAAAGCCCAGAAATCATCTCAAGATTACCTCAAGATTAATATCCCCTTTGTTATGTCCAGTCATCCACGTGTAAACCTCTATCATGTCACCCGTAACTCGTCGCCTTTCCAATGAATGCAATTTAAGCTTTGTTAATCTCTTTATATGACAGGTTTCTAATTTGGGGAATTAACTTTTCATCCTATGCTGGACGCGTTCAAGTGAATTTATATCCATTCTATAGTACGGCGACCAAAACTGAACTGCATAACACACAGAAATCACAATGCATGATGTATCAAATGAACAAATCCACAAGGGCTGTGACGAGGATTCGAACCTGCGTCCAAGAGTATCCCAGACGCTGCCTTAATCGACTGAGCTATGACATGGTATAAGATTTTGAAAACACCCCTGTGACTATGACCATGCCCCTTGAGAAACATTTAAAACACCCCTGTGGCTATGACCGTGCGCCTGAAGAAAAATTTGAAAACACCCCTGTGGCTTTGACCGTACTCCTGGAGAAAAAATCCGAAAACTCCCCTGTGACTATGACCATGTGCCTGGAGAAAAAATTTGAAAGCCCTTGTGGCTATGACCGTGCGCCCAGAGACAAATTTGAAAATACCTCTATATTGGGTATATAAACCCATACAGGGGTATTTTCCATACAAAATTTGAAAACCATTTTCCCATACAAAATTTGAAAACACCCCTTTGGTTATGACCGTGCGTGGGGAAAAATGGATACCCCCTGTGGCTATGACCGTGCATGGGAAAAGGCAAAATGCACGGGCATAGTGTCATTTCCCACTACTCCGTCTCGGGAAAGTTTGTTCGCTGGTGGAATGTAGACTGTGCTCGAGCTGTTCGCTGTAAGCGTGCAGCCTGAAAGAAACACCAACGCCGACAGATAGCTGATTCTTTTATTTTGTTTAGGTAAGCAAGTGCAGTGGCCCATAGGACCATCCATACACCTAAGCATAAGAGTTGGAAATACAGATACTCCTCTACTGAAGATCTGGAAGAAGATCCGCAAGATTGTGGGTAAGTTCGTTCCAAATATCTCGTTTGTTCTTCACCTCCATGGTACCCTTGTGGCAGACCCAGTGCAGGTCGCAACCAAACTGGGTTCCCACTTTTCTTCTGTTAGCTCTGGTTCACATCTTCCTCAATCCTTCCTTCTTCGTAAGCCCGTTCTTGAATCTCATCCTTTAGATTTCCGCACTCATCTCCGCCTTCCCTATAACGATCCCTTCTCTGAATTTCAGTCTGCGCTGGCCCTCTGC